TTGATTCGGTCACCCAGTCCAAGGCGAATTTTAAATGTGTGGATGAGTAACTCTCAGGAATTCGCCCTATCACTGCCTCAGTCTTCCGGACTTTATCTAATTCTCTGCAACAGCTTTTATAAACGACTGCCTTTGCCTAAAGCAACATGCCTGATTTAGGCAGTACTGGGAGCGAATCTGCGCAATAGCAACGAAGACTCCCGATGCAATGCCCATAACCGAGCTCTGAAACTACAATCCAAGACAAAAGTTCTTCGATGTGGTATATGCTGCGATAAGAATTTGAAGGGCTCTTAACTGTCAGCAGATTGATGAGTTTAGGTGAAAGATTGTTACTAGCATATGTTGTGTACTTTTTAATGCCCGTAATGAATATTGCTTTTGTGTTAAAAGACACTGTGAGTGCACAGTTAGTTTCGGCGCCTGTGCCGAACCCAAGAGAGGAGGGGGAGGGGGGAGCACGTTGGAAGCGGGACACATAAGGTCGAAGACAGCAATATAGCAACGTAGCAAAGATCAATAGCGAGTCAACGATCACTTCAGAGCATAACTCGAAAAAGAAAATGTAAAGCTGTCACAAGAATGCTGAGTTATGGGCAAAAATCGAATTCCAGGAGGGAGTTGAACTCACACCTCACGCTTTCCGCTAAGAGCGGCCCTGGTCCGTCACGCCACCAGGGCCGCTCTTACCCTTTCACCAGGAAAGGTCAGCAGATCAGCCATTTCCAATGAGCTGCACACCGTTGTACGCGTCTTGGGACGGTGAACTCAGAACTGTCTTCAAAATTTGCAGAACGATTCTCTGAACGGAGTTATGGAGGGTTTCATATCCGCATGATCGTTTCACCTGCATTTGTCCAAGAACATAGCCGACAAAGCTTCTAACATCTCTGCTCGCCTGCACTACCCTATAAGGGAACCTGCGATCAGTTTTTTTTGAAAGTGTAGACCCATTGTGGCCTGAAAGAGTGCTTCTGCTTGTACCCCTCGTAACACGTGTCACAAGGGTTTTTGCAATGAAATACCATCATATTCATGTTCAGCGGGTTAAATTACCCCTGGGACAAGTTTCTAGCCGAATCTGTTATTTCGACTCAACTTTAAATGTGGGCTATTCTATGGGTAATTAGCAGCAGATTAGAGCTCACCTATCATCGATGTCTAGAGAGGGGATTTCTTCACGGTAATCAGAAAAATGGCATAAGTAAGCCAGGTACTGTTGTTTGCAAAAAGACATGACTGAAGAGTTATTTCAGTTCGAAGACCAGTCATCACCAGTATGCTAGTCGTAGTATCGCTGTTGGCTATCAGTCAGCCATGACCCATACCCCATTTTTTCGAAGTTGAGTCAGAACCTCAGATTTCGCTAAAGTGACGCCTCTAGGGGTTATTTGACCCCCTGAACACGAATATGATACCTGTTTTGCGCGAAGAGCGCTGTGAGTCGCGCTACATGTGCCAACGCTTCGGCGCCCCGTAAGAAGAAAAACAGTAAAAAGAAACCTCCATAACTCCGCTCAGAGAATCGTTCTGCAAATTTTGAAGACAGTTCTGAGTTTACCGTGTCAAGATGAGTACAGTGATGTGCATCTCATTGCAAATGGCCAGGCTGACTTGTTGATATTTCCTGAGTCCCAGCTCATGGCCGTTTTGCTGTAGCCTTACATGCACTTCACACGTCTACATGGTGAGCCGGTCAGTTTTTGTCGAAAGTCATCATACTTGCTGATAAACTTTCTGAACAGCGAACTTGTACTCAAAAACAGCAGTTATTCGTAACAAAAACTACTTCAAAATGGTACATCCCCCAAACTCCAGTCTCACTAAACCTAGGCGGTAGATCTTTCCATAAAAAAGGGAAAAACAAAACCGATTGCAAGTGGCTACCCACCCTTAACAACGGATCAGCTCGCTAGGATATTGGCAACAACTGACACACAGACACACAGACTATTGACCAACAACTTCTGTCCCCAGAACACGCCACCCTAAGCTAAACCGGAACTGAAAGAGTTCTGATAACAAAGAGTTGAGGCCTTTCACGCTGCACAGAGAGGACAAGAAATATGGCCTCATCAGTAGGCAAATGAGAGGACAGACCCCGTTGTGAGAACGACTAAGCTGGTTTTACGTCCAGCTGCTCTTCCGGCTTAACCAGTTGTCCACAAGGAGTTCAATTCTGCCATTCCCTGAGAGAGAAGAACCAACGATTCCTTCAGCATAAAAACAAGTTAACTCATGAAATGTTGTCGTGTTGATGAGAATTTGCAACAAAATTTCTCAGCAGCAATTTGAATAGGAACACTTCATTTTTCACTGACCAAAAGCGAAAGTAGGTGGAGCAAAACGAACAATGGCAGGTGTGCTATATAACCTTTCTGATCAACGTTCTGTAAGAACAATTCCGTGACAAATAGACTTTATGGTTACGCTCTACACGCGTAAAGACTCCTTATTTCTACAACAAAGGACAAAAAACGCTTTGCGATAGCACACCATCAGATTTTACGTAGCTTACAATTAGATCAGAGAAGATACATGCAGTACTCAAGTCAAAATACTCTTGGAATGGTCCTTTATGAGCAAGAGGAGCGATATAAAGTATTGTCGCCGTCAAGCTTGACTACGGCTTACAGTAAGAAAAAGGTGCCACTTTCTACAGTCGTGTCATTCTGTTCCTGAAGATGCACATATTCCTAAAGACTGCCGACGGTGGAAGACGACAGCCACCTGCGGTAACCTCCATGGTTCATGAATTGTTTTCTCTTTCTGATTTGACCCCTTGATCTTGATTTGAGAGCCCTTCAATT